GCACCACCACCCCTCTCCCTTACCGCCGCCAAGGAACTCTGGATTTTCTGGTATGGCGAGGAACCTGATCTCTCTGGTCTCGTGTCACCGGAACTCATCGCGTGCGGTGAGTAATGAAGCTCCTGTGTATTATATACTCTCCTATGGATCACTTCGATTCTCAATAGACACAGGGATTGGATGTTTATCTTTCCTTCGGATAGATTTTATGTATATAAATAATTAATAATAAAACAAGATATTAATAAATCTTAAAAACAATATTTTTTTCACAATAATATTAGCTAAAATTGAGAATATAATTTAATATTTTACTCTTTAATGATTCAATATTAAATGGCATAACCAAATTTCTATTTTAAATATTCTTCGTTAGATTGTATATCTTCTGATATATAATGAAGAACTGCAATTTCAAGAATTTTCTGGAATTATTGCAATATATTGTGGTAAAATATATTCGTGTGATCAAATAATGTGATAAAAAATTTCGTCAATATGGTATGAATAACTAATATGGATTAAATCGGATTTATTCGTAACAAAAACATAGATATTTCTATTTTCTTTATTAAATTTTCTTTATTAAAGCAGATTGAAATCTATAATTAAAAATTCTAATAAAAAATAAATTTATACAACAAAAGTATGTCTAAATGACTATATAATTCTATATCCATCTAATTTTTAATCAGATTGTGTTAAAAGATATAACATTGATATGATTTCATAACAGTAAAACATAAAAAGAAAGAATTTTCAAATCAAAATAAAATATCAATAAAAAAAAAATAGAAAACATTTATTTTTAATAGATAAAATTTTATTATTTTAAGATTTAATAAAAAAGTATTGTTTAAAAATAATGAATATTCATCATGAAACAAAGAAAAAATATCTTTACTTATTCTATTTCTAATTAATATTAATCTCAAGAATATTAATATGTGTTTTTTTTATATATGTATTCATATGTATTCTTTATATATGTATTTATTTTTAAATTATTCTAAGATTCAATATTAAAGATTCAATTCAAAAAATGAAAAAATATAAATATATTTGTTACGGAAAATAAAATAGTGATTAAATAGTTTTATGAAAAACAATTGTACTTCAAAAATAGTACATCGCAAATTGTAGTGGACATTATTGTAGGAAATCCCGTATGCTTTTGTTTCGAAGAAAGAAGGTGTGCAAAGCGAGCGAAGCGGTAATGTTGGCTAGACCGTGTTTCTCTGCATAGGGTCGCTGAACCATGTACTTGTCTGCAACTCAGTGCGATGCAACGCAAGGTTCCATTATTGTATATCGCAAGAAGTACACCAATTGCGGAACGAACTGATAAACCGTTAGTCTTGGATGAATCCAATCTTTGAATATCATGGACCAAAAAAATTCAGAAAACATATATGTTGTATTAAAGATTTGAATGAATCATTGATAAACATAGATAGAAAAAAATATATTCTCAATAATTAAAAAATATCTTCTTAACAAAAATCTTCTTAAAAAAATATGAGAAAGTAAAATTTGAAAAAAGCTTGTTTTAAAAATTAACAATAAAATTATTTCATTTAATTAATTAGTTAAGAATAATTATAATTTTATTGATTAATATTGAATATAATGTAAAATATATACAATTCTTAAAATTAGAATAATTTTTATAACTATTTTTTTTATTTATATTAATTTTATTCTTTACAATTTTAAACAATATTTTAAATTTGTAAAGATTTTAAGATGAAGATTACTTTATAAAAATTATATTTCAAGATGATACGTAATTTATATTATTATTATTATAATTTTAATTCGTTTTAGAAAGTGAAAGAGAATATACCTTCATAATCACATTTGCAGAATTGATGTTCATAAAGCGTAAAGTTCATTACTATTTCACAAGTAAAGTAAAAATATGTTAAAACGCGAAACATTAGATTTATCATATAAAAATAAAAATACAAGTATAAAAAGGGAACAATTTGATTTTAGTTTATCAACATAAAATTCTAAAATTTTATTTTCTTGGTCAACTCTCTTTTGTCTTCCATGAATTGCCCAGTGTCGACGTGACTCGCTGTAATTTTATACACGAATTGCATTACTTTCACAGTGGAATCAGTCGTTTCTTTCCGCCAGTAAGAATTGTAGATCATAGAGGAAAGTAGATCACAGAAAAATAACAAAACGTATTTGTTTCTAAAACAAAATTTCGCTATCTACGAAAAAAAAAAATTGTGATGAATTATATATTTAATTTAACTTTTTTAAGAATCTTAATTATATATAAATACGTAATTATTATAAGAAATTGCATATAAAAATATTTAATAATATTTTTTAATTGTTATATAAGATATTCAACAATCGATATATATCAATTGTATTAAAATTATAAATCTTTAAATATTATATAAAATAATAAGAATTATTACATTATAATAAATAAAATTAATTGTTTTATAATATAAACATTTATTATTATTGCAGAAAGTGAGCAAGGTTCTTGGGAAAGCGGATTATCATACGAGTGCCGGTCACTTCTTTTCAAAGCTTTGCATAACTTGATTGAACGGTGCTTATTATCTCGTGATTTTGTTCGTCTAGGAAAGTGGTTTGTACAACCTTATGATGGATTCGAAAAACACCGTTGCAGTAGGTATGTTCTTATATTATTATTAGTAATATTTTTTATTATATTAAAATGAATAATTTGCTACTATTATGAAATAATTAAATATTAACTTCCTTATAAAATTTAATTTAAATAATTTTATTATTTATTATTACAGTAGTCACTTGTCATTCTCATTTGCATTCTTTGTGCATGGAGAAAGCACTGTATGTGCAAGTGTGGATGTTAGGCAGCATCCTGCTGTGCGACATCTCACAAGGACTTGCTTACAACGTACCCAAACTTCCCAATCTGGTGTTAAAGGTATATATAATAAATTACTCAACTCAATATAATTAATATATAATTAGTATAAATTATATTTTGTATATAATTAATATAAATTATGATTAGATATATATAATTATTTGATGTATTTACTAATTCTATTACAGTGATTCTAGCTCCTTATGGACTAGCAGGCACATTAATTGGTCCAGTGGGACGTATAGATAGTCAACTTCTTGAAGAATGGAAACACTTTTATCCAATCAATAGCAGTAACATAGAAGCAGGACTTCCACCTCTAGTAGAAGTACTTGTTGGTGGTGTCCGTATGCGTTATCCTTCTTGTTATGTCCTGGTCACAGATATGGATGATAGTCCACCTGATACTCCTCTTTCTCCACCAAGTAGTCCTGCTAGTTGTGAACATCCTCTCTTGAGTCAGCAGGAATTACAAGCAGCTACAGAATTACCAGAACGTGTATGGGCAGAATGTACTTTGAGCTCACCAATTTCTGCTTCCAAGACAGAATCTTCCACAGAACTTGGAACCTGGACCTTTATTGATCCAACACAAAAGTCTTCCTGTATCTGTTCAAAGTAAGTAATTTTCATGATTTTTTATTTTATGAATTTAAATTTTACTGCATTGTAAAATTACTATATTTCATAATTTTATTTGTAATTTAAGAAATTAAAAATTTTTAAAAATTTCATTCAAAAAATGTTTATCTCAAAAATTTTATTAAATAGTATTAAAATTTAATCGTTTTGTGTTATATCGATACAATATAATTAAAAATTACAATGCGGTAATAGTAATTATAATAATAATAACTTTTATTCAATTTGTAATATTATATAAAAGTATATGTAAAGAATGCATTTATAAAATTATTGTTAGATTTTTGACTATTATTTTCTTTGCATATTTATTACATGTAGCAATAAACATATACTTCTTTTGACTGCATTCTATGTTTATCTGATAATATTTAAAATATATAATGTTCGTAATGTTGTTATTGATTCTGTCTGCATGTTTTAGCACAATTTATAAAATGTAGATTATTTAAAATATTACAATATAGATAATAATTTTTTTAATGGCTGCTGCAATATATGCATGTAAATTTAGTTCTTGAGAATGGCTAAAATGCAATTATTTCTTTAAATTAGTATTCTTTATGACAACAAAACTATCCTATATTAAAAAATTTAATAAAGAATATTATAAATTTTTTATTTTTTTTAAATTATAAAGTCTATGTTATAATAAAACTGAATAATAATAAATAGAAATCAAAATATTAAATATTAAAATAAAAAATTATAAAGACTATAAAATAATAAATTTGAGCCTAAAAATACTATCATTGCTAAGATTTTATTTATTTTTTTCGTATTTTAAATAAGTAATTAAAAGTCTCATAATTTTAAAGTAAAAAATATGCATATTTTTAAAAAATTCTAAAAAAAAAATATTATATATATTATTACATCAGATGTAGGTTTGAAAAATTGTAAAAATAATTAAAATTGATATTAAGTTACAGTAATACTTTGCATTTTGACTACAGGTTGGAATTAAAACTGGATAACTTGTAAGGAGAGTTTGTATCAGGAATGAATAAGGGATAAAGTGAGACAGTATTATTTATGTTTTAGTTAAATAGGTCCATTAAAAGATTTATTTAATAGTTTTGTTCACAAAGATGACTAAGAAATGACTAAGAAATGACAATGATAGCAATGGTCAATTTGGAGAACAAAATACCAATCAGAATGCAAGACATTACTGTATTTATTTTTGCTCCATATATTGCTGTCCAATAAATAATACAAACAGAAATATAAAAAACAAGATATTAAATACATCGGTTGCAGGTCTGCCACCCCCGGGGGTTGGAAGAGCCTGGCCTCCTCTCAGGTTCAGAGGGATAAAGGTGGACGGAGGGTCGTACCGTTTCATCGACGCTCTACCACCCAGTGGGATGCTTGTCCCTCTGTCCCTGCTAATGCCCCCAGGTGGGTAATTTCTGCCCCGATATCAATGAGAAAATCATTTTTTTTTTTTTTTCATATCTTAATTAATCACCGCAATAATGCAAATATCGTTTGATCGTTATAATACCATAACGTCATTTTTTAATTCACATTGCTTATGAAAGCTCCGCTACTTATTTAATCAGGAGTAACTAAACCTAATTGCACGAATAATGCATTAATCAATATTATTATATAATGTTTTCATTTTGTATGTGGGAAGTCTCATTTCTGAAAAAATTATAAATATTAATTGTGATAAAGTGTAAACAAGAAAAATCATTTATTATAATTATATATTATAATAAATAACATACAACATATTATATAGTACAAATCTTATTTTTAATATTATTAAAGAAAAATAATATACACATTTTGTATATATACATTTAATATATATTTTATATATACTTTAAATGAAAGCTATATATGTTTATAAATATTATAGTAAGTATATTCATGCAAAATTGGTAAATCAATATATATTGTATATGATGTTATAATATAAATAGCACTGAGGTATATTATAAAATTAAAAAGCTTACATAAATATATTTCTCTTGAATAAAATTAATTTTTTTATTTATTTCATATATTATTATACAATTAATTTTCACTTTTAATATTGCATAAAATATTACAATAATTTAATAGAGAAAAATACATATTCTTATAAAATATTATTTAAATATTTATGTTTTGTTTTTCTTTTTCTTTCTTTTTGAAATTTTGCTTTTTTTATTTCGGGTAATTATTGTTAAAGGATGCTTTGCATGTATGTTGTTGTTAAAGAATGCTTTGCAGTATTGTTCACAACTTCAGCATGATTTTTGTATTTATTATATTTCTCTTGCTATATTTATTATATTAATATTGTAATTGAATTTATAACTTTATTTTTGATTACATTTAAAAATATATTTGTACTCTTAACAATTTTTAATAGACAAATATATTAAATTTATTTTTTTACAATAATTTTTAATGGAATGATTATAATTTCATTATAAAATTCATATAAATATTTATTTTAAAAAATCATCATTTTTTATTTCGCATGAATCAGTTTTTGTCAATATTATTTATAAATCATTAAATCTAAAATATTAAATATATTATTAATCTCTATATAACATTTATTTTTTAAAAGAATCTTAATTTATGATTATATTCCTTAATTGGAATAGGTCTGTATTGAACAGAACAGAAGCGCCAAGTACACCACCAGGCGGACCTCCTTCTTATTCAAGAGGACCACCAACAGGAGGAGATTGTTTACCAGTTCCATCTGTTGGCTCACCAGGATCTCCTGCACCTTCACCTCTTCCAACTCCACATTCCGAGCCAGCATCGATTCCACCAGCAGAACCGACAATGCCTACACTCAGTCCTCAACCACCACCAAGTCATGCAAACACTGCCCCACCGCTAACTCCTTCTCAAGGCCCTAAATCAACTTCCTCTGCATGCAATAATCAAGTACATAGTCCAGCTCCTGGACCAACATTAAAACGACCAGTCCTAGTTTCTAGAGAATGTGAGGAGATTTATTTAGAAAATGAACAGTCGTTACGTTGTCTCTATGATTATTCAATACAAGAAGCATGGCTCAATCATCCTGTAAAACGTTTTAAGGAATCTAATAACAGTCCAGTTAATGTGCGAAATAACACATTATATCCACCAATGAATTCTCAAATTCCTCAATCTCAAACACCCAAAATAGAAATTAAACAAGAACCAAATGTCAATGTTGTAAGTGATTTTTTCCAGTTATGTAATATTATTATACTATAAATTATAAATTAATCTATTAATGCTCAATAGGGAGATTGTATTGGAAGAAGAACAGATCCGTATGAGTTTGATGCAGCAGGTGAAGAAAACGGTACAAGCGTTGATGGACTTCGACGGCAAAGAGATGATCCTTCTAAACCAGGATCCTTATTTACTAGCGAAGGTCTTCAAGCGTCTTACAAAGATTTAGACCAAATTTTTGATAATTCTGATCCAGATACTTCCAGTGACGAAACTGTAAGTTTTGATTTTTCTTTTTTTACTTTTTATTATTTAATAATTTTTATAATTAAAATAAATTACTTAATACTTCTTGTAGAATTTGAACCAGCTTCAAGTACAAACTCCACCAGAATCAAATAGATCTGGTGGACTTCATGAAGAAACCAGAGTAGATGCCAATAACAGACATAGTAATAGAGGAGTAGGTGTGTTACGACCAGAAGAACTTTCCAAAATGTTTCCAACACCACCATCCTTAGAGCATAATCCAGTTGCTTCTCCTTGTCAGTTGAATGACTCTTTAATGGACCAGACGGAACTTTCTGTACCTCAACGACCACTTAGGCATCTGCCTGATATATATCCGAACATGGGATCTCCTCAAGAAGAGCCTATCGATGATTGGTCTTACGTGTTCAAACCTGCGCCCATCTGTAAGATGGTTGGTTCTTCCAAATATGCTCCACTTACAAATCTGCCCAGCCAATCATTACCTCCTGTTACACTGCCATCGCACTGCGTATATAGACCTTCTTGGCAGTGCAATCCTACTTCCAACAATCCAGATAAACCACTTCCACCAACTAGACCTGGTTCAGTCCAACAACAACCTTGTCCTCCAAGTCCAGCACCATTGGGAGCACCATATCGCTCAGCAACTATTTCCGGAAGACCACCACCGCCACCATATGATCAACCGAGTCCTGCCACATCTACTACTTCATCGTATCTAAACAAAAATTTGAATAGCATCGAGGCGGATACACCAGGTCCTACTCGTGCACCAGAATCGAACTCTCTCATAGTGAATATCCTTTTAGGTGACACTGTGCTTAATATCTTTCGTGATCATAATTTCGACAGTTGCAGTCTCTGCGTGTGCAATGCAGGTCCAAAAGTTGTTGGTAATATTAAAGGTGCAGATGCTGGTGTGTATCTTACACACTCATGGTCAAGCGGAGCTCTGTTTCAAGATGATGATCAGATCAGGTGTAGTTGTGGTTTTAGTGCAGTTGTAAATCGGCGATTGGCTCATCAAGCTGGTTTGTTCTATGAAGATGAAATGGAAATCACTGGTATTGCAGAAGATCCAGCGGAAAAGAAAAAAGCGTCTTTGGTTGCTGTAGCCTGTGGAGGGGGTAAACCATCAGAAGGTTTAGATGTGATACCACCTAGTGTGTTAGAATTGCTTAGAGAACAGTGCCTGATCATACAGAGTTCTGCAAGTAGTCTTTACAGAGCATCGAGAATCTACGCTACAATGAAGAGTTATCCAATGCTCACGCCTACCGTAAATATGTTGGAATTTAATGATGGAAACGAAGTTTCGCTAGCAGCTCTTGATCAGGGTAAAATTAACGGTACGCACAATGAAAGGACTAATCGTATAATTGGAGTGCATCGATGGGTGTTTCTTAGAGCAAAAGGTCCTCAATGCAGTGGTGATATTGTGCGAATGATGAGAGCTTTACAACCATTATTACAAGATGCAGTACAAAAAAAATGTACCACTCGAATGTGGGAAGCACCATATACTGTCGCAGGTCCTTTAACTTGGAGACAATTTCATCGTTTAGCTGGTCGTGGAACAGATGATCGTTGTGAACCTCAACCAATACCTGCACTAGTTGTTGGATATGATCGAGATTGGCTATCTTTGTCACCTTATGCTTTAAGTTACTGGGAAAAATTGCTATTGGAACCATATGCTGGACCGAGAGATGTTGCCTATGTAGTGGTAGCACCTGATAGCGATTGTGTTGTTAATAAAGTAAAATCATTTTTCCGTGAATTATCAACTACATATGAAGTAAGTAAATAGGTTTTTATGTAACATATTTTATTTTAGATTATAAAATTGTAATTTTTTATCAGATTTGTCGGTTAGGAAGGCATACACCTATTTCAAAAGCATTGCGTGATGGTATTCTTCGAGTTGGAAAATCGTCTGTACAAAAACAAATCAAACAACCAATAGACGATTGGTTTAAACTTTTAGGAGAGAACCAATTAGGAGAATTGTTAAGATTATATGCCCAAGTCTGTAATCATCGATTAGCTCCATATTTAACACAAGTTATTCAGGATCGAAGTTTATTAGATCCCGGAGATTCGCAATCTAATAAGCAACAACAACAACAACAACCACAAACAACTATTCCCGTTACTGATACAATGCCAGCTACGCCCGATGTAATGTCAAGTAAACCTGAATCTATTGGTATGTTTTAATATTTTTCTTGATCTTTGAATTTCATTGCACAATATATCGTATATATATTTATTGAAATATATTTTTAAAAAATGATTTTAGAGATCAAAACAAATACAAAAGTTAGTATACAAAATTATAAAGATATAAGAATCTCCATAAATATATTAACATCCTTTATATATGAATAATGCCATTAAATTTTTTTTTTTAATTGAAATATATTACTAAAGTTTAATGTATTTATTTATGAAAAAAATTATATAAAATTTGTAAATTTTTAGAAGGAGAAAATCCTAGAAGTGAAACCCCATCGTCAAACACAACAAATACTAATTCTAATACCGGTAATACAACACCAACTTCACAAACTGCCACAGTACACACTAATACCACATCGGGTCCAGATGAAGAGGAAGTTGAGCCTCCAGCTATAGTTGTTTATTTAGTAGAACCTTTCTCATTGGGAGGTCCTGAAGATCCTGATCGTCGAAGACTTGCTATTTTAGCTTTGTTACGTGCATATTCGACAGCAATTAATAGCATGCCTGAAAACATTAGATCTAATATAAATGTTCAGGTGAGATTAAATTATAATTTTTCTTATATTTAAATAATTTGATCAATTTAAAAAAAGATAAAAAACAAATAAAAATTAGATTTATATATCAAAAGATCAGTATTTAATCGAATATATATATCTTATATTTTAATATGTAAGGATGCGTTGCATATAATTGTAAATAACTAATTATAAATAATTAATTTGTAATTTATGTTTTCTTCAGATAATATCTTTGGAAAGTATAATGGAGTTAGGACGAGCTAGAGAAAGGCGTAAGATACAGGATGAGATGAGAGCTTTAGCATTAAATGTATTTCTACAAGGTCGTCGATTATTAAATCATAATTCCACAGTAAAAAGTCTCACTGGATTCGGTACTGCTGCGGCAGCAGATCTTTTTCTTAAAAGTAAAGATGTAAGATCCTATTTTCTATCTCTTGTGTTTAATTGTATCAATTTTTTAAAATAAATCAATTGTGTTGCCCGTGTGCCTATTAAAATGATAAAAATAGTAAAAGATAAACAGGCCATGACTCGATCATTTTCAGTCTTATAGTAATACTCTTGCAACTATACATCAGGAACGAAACAGAGCCCCGTACCGGTTATACTCACCAGCCTACGTCTTGGCTCCTCTACGGGCGAAAAGTGAAGCACCGGAGTCTTTTGGCATTGCTGGACCAGAAGAGTGTGCAGTTCTGTACCTCAGTTACTGCCTAAGCGAAGATCAATCTTGGCTACTTGCGGTTGCAACCGATGATCGTGGCGAAATATTCGAAACAGCTACTATCAATATTGATATACCCAATAGGAAAAGAAGAAAACGCGCCTCAGCCAGACGAATTGGATTACAAAAATTGATGGATTTTATATTGAGTGTAATGTCTCAAGGTGTAAGTAATTTATAAAACATAAAAAAATTAAATGAATTTTTTATATTTAATTCTTATTTTGTGTTCATAAAACGCTTATGATTATATAAATCGTCAATAAGTTTAATGAAAAAGTTATACAAATATTTTTAAATATATTTAAAAAGTAATAAATATATTTAATACAAAAATAAAATTTAATATTAATATTCAATTATTTTAAAATATCAAAAAAATAATCAAAATATAATTAATGATAAAAACAAAAAATAGCAATAATAAATTATTATATTTAATATTTAAATAATTATAAATATTTTATTAAAATAAATACTTCTACATTCATTCATTTAGGTACAACCTTGGAGATTAGTAGTAGGTCGTGTAGGCCGTATCGGACATGGTGAATTAAAAGGTTGGAGTTGGTTATTATCGAGAAAAGCGCTTCTTAAAGCCTCTAAACATCTTAAAGAAATATGTGGCCAATGCAGCCTTTTATATCCGTCAGCAGCACCTTGTGTGCTCAGCGCCTGTTTAGTCTCCCTTGAACCAGATTCAACTCTCAGGCTTATGGCTGATCAGTTTACACCTGATGAAAGATTTAGTCAAGCATCGGTAAACTGCCAATTGTCTACACCACAAGATGTTACATGCACTCATATTCTCGTTTTTCCTACATCTGCTACCACACAGGTAACTTTTTGTTTAAATTTTATTTCAAAATATAAATAAAACATTTAACAAAAATCATTTGAAAAATTCATTAACAAAAATCATTTGAATATTCATTAAAAGAAAATATATAAAATTACAATTTTTTTTTATTAAAAGAAAACATATTTTTTTCAAAACATTAATTATTTTATTAATTTAATAAAATAAATTAATAGAATTCTTTTATTTATATATTATTTATATATTAATTCTTTTATGAAATTCTTTACTTAAAAAAAAACTTTATTTTCAATTTATTCTTCTTTGGAAATTATATTCTATATAATTCTAAAATATATTTAATAAATAAAAATAATAAAATATATTCTGCATCTTATCTGTACATTCCTATATAAATTAATGTATTGAATATAACTATATTTAGAAAAAGTAAAATTTGTTTTTATAAATTAAAAAATAAATATATTTTTAAAAATTAATATATTTATTAAAAATTATTTTTAATAAAATTTCAATAAAATTCTCTTTTATTCAATATCTATAATTTTTAAATATCTAAGAATAATTTTTTTGCTATAGTCGTCACAGACTGCATTTCAAGAGCAGCATATTAATGGACCAGAATTAGGAGATGATGAACTATTTTCTGCACTAAATGATGATATGCCAGAAGGTATGGAAGGCATGGGAGATTTCAACGATATTTTCAATGTATGGCCAGAAGCTGGTGCTGGTGGAGGGCAAAGTCCTGGAGGTAGTCCACATCGTCCTGAGGGATCTCCAATGGGTGGAGACGGTGGTGGTTCAGGTTTAGGCAATCATGATGGACCTGGTAGTCCATTTCCATGTAGTAACACACCAAGAGTAAGTTAATATATTATTCAAATTCAAATTTTTATTCAAATTTCTAAAATTAAATATAATTTAAAAGATTCAATTCATTTCTATTTTAAAGAAAAATTATTTTAAAAAAAAACTCTTGATGTTAGTAAATATAATTATACTTACGAATATTATTGAATATTACATAATTTTTTATTTATATTATATCATATTATATTAAATTATATTATATGAATTAATTTTATTTATTATTATATTTTTATTTTATTATTATATTAAAAAATAATTTTATCATAAAAAAATTCAATAAAATAATAAGATTTTTACTAATACTTTAACTAAAATTTTAATTGAATTAAATATAACAAAATAAATGTTTTAATTATCATAATTATTATTTATATATAAAATTAAGAAAAAAAATTAATTCATATTTGATAGGTTGCAGTTGCTGAACAAGCAGAAGAAGTAGGAACGCTATTACAACAACCTCTTGCTCTTGGTTATTTGGTATCTACTGCACCAACTGGACGGATGCCACCATGGTTTTGGTCAGCTTGTCCCCATCTTGAAGGAGTTTGCCCAGTATTTTTAAAGAATGCCTTACATTTGCATAGTCCAGCAATTCAGCAGAATAGTGATGATCTGTTACAACAACAAAGTGCACTCACTGCTCATCCATTAGATTCACAGTATACCACCGATGTGCTCAGGTTAATATTATTGTTTTCATTAATTATATATTTTTTCTTTTAATTATTTAAAATTTTTATTAGAAATATTATTATGACTAGTAATTTAAATATTCTGAAAATAACTTTTAATTACATCAAAGAGAGTATTATATATTTTAAATTAAAAAATTTTACTATAGTATTTTAAAATTTTATTTAATACTTAATTTAGTAATTTACAATTTATGATATATATTTATTAAAATTTAGTTTAAAATATAATACATTCGTATATTAATAATCTATGTATTTGCTAAATTTTTGATATATATATATATATATATATATATATATATATATATATTTATTAAAATTTAGTTTAAAATATAATACATTCGTATATTAATAATCTATGTATTTGCTAAATTTTTGATAATATATTTGCTAATTATTATTACTAATATATTTCAGATATGTATTGGAGGGATATAATGCCCTATCATGGCTCGCAGTGGATGCGAATACGAAAGATCGTCTATCCTGCTTGCCAGTGCACGTACAAGCGCTCATGCAGCTCTACCATGCAGCAGCAGCTCTCGTCTGACCCACACCCTCTCCCTTCGTAGTGCAGTATGTGCACCTCTTTCATGCACTTCTTTACCATACCGTCACTTGGGGCTTTACGAGAGCAACTGGTTTCCTACGTCCGTCTTCAACTGTTTTTTAGAGACTTTGAGATTCTTCTGAATAACTGGAAGAACGATCTTTCGACCATTAGTCGAACCTCCAATGCGAAACCGACTTTTTTTTGTACTCGATTCTTTTTTAAATTAATGCGATAATACATCGTGATTGTAGCGTAAACTTGATGATTATCAATGCACAGTAATTCTTTTTAACATTTTTCTATTCGTGTAATTCGATATCCAAAAAAAAAAAAAAATAAATAGAATGTATTTTATGTTTTTCAATAATCGCGACAAACGAAAATAAGATAACACGAAATATTATGATGACCGTATATTGCCATATACCAAATGGAATCGAATGAATGGAAGGTAAAATTTTATGTGTGCGAGAGATTGATAGAACGAATGAACTTGTAAGAGAATGAAAGAGAATGAATAAAAGAAAGTGTGAAAGAGAGGAAAGAAGAGAGAACGAGTGCGCGTGTATAAATGGAAAAAAGAGAAACAAAAGAGAACGCGCCATAAGAAGTTAAACAATTGCCTCTCTGTCGGTAGATAGTTCAATTACAAATCAGAATCTCTAGAAAATTACATAACCAAAACGTTTTTAATTGTAAATTGAATTTTGTACAAAGCTTTTATTATTAATAACGACGAAGTAATATAAATAATATTACGTTGTTTTTTAATTTTATATAGATGATATAAATGAAAAAAAGAAGAACGGAAAGGGAGGCGATACTTCTTTTTTACAAATAAAATGCCTCGTACAAGCCCCTGGTGTGAGATAAGTACGACAATTATACATATATTATATTATATTATGCTCGCGCGGCACTGGGTCACTGTTATCATGTTTCCTGGACCCATTAGCGCAATTTTTCGATGCTGTTTGACAAATTTTATTCAAATTAGGTGACCTCTATATATTATACATACATTAATAGTGTAAAATATTGTTTTTAAATAATTTATGAAGTGAGAAACATCGCCGAGATATTAGATAATTGAAAATGAGCGAAAAAAGAGCAAGAATAAAAGAAAATGAAAGAAGGGCACAGAGAGGTTTGTTCCCTGAAATTTAGGAAAAAAAAATGATTTCATAAACAAATAAATGAGCGCGCAAACAAAGCGAAAAAGATATATAAGAAATAAATAAAAAGACAAGAGAAGAGAATACAGGGCGCGTCTGAATGGAAGCCGATGGTGGCTAATTGCGTCAGTCGCATAGTACAAATATGACTTGTACATAGCAATCCCTAATCCTCTCCCCCTTATAAAGTTAATTGGTTAATTTACTCACACACCACACTCACACTGTATCTATAGTATTTATTATCTGGGTAGAACATCATTATTGGGATTATTATTATTAATTATTATTATTATTATTACCATTACCATTATTATATTAATATTACGAAATACAGTTTTATGTGTATATATAATTATATACCTCATTTCACACAAAATATGTGTGAATTTTACAGCTTTGATGTTGCAAGCATAATAGAAATGGTATAATGTCTTTATTTCTGCAAAACTTATTATTAATGTAAAATTAATCATATATCATATTATTTAAAGAAATAAAAAATCTCAATATGTACAGAAAAAGAAAATATAAATTGCTGTAAATTAATGATAACAGATCAGATCATTATAGAATAACTTTCTTTTTTTTTTTTTTAAAAATGATTAATTAAAAAATTTAAAATTAAAAAAAATAATTTAAAAAATAAATAACTTATAATAAAAATTTATCAAAATATATCTTTAAATTTTATTTTCATACTTCAAGAATAATTTCGATTAAATATTTGATGAAAAAATTAAATTTTATTGTATAAATTTATACATGTACAATACAATTATTAAAATTAATTAATAAAAATTACTAAGTAATAATTTATAATTAATAATTAATAATATTCTAATATGCTTGTAACATTTATAAGAGTGCATACCTTGTTTTACTCTTACAATGAATTTATAAATTTTTCATCATTCATATATAGGTACGTATAAACATCATATATATCTATTACGGATATAAGCAAAAATGACACGAAATATATCACATATATCACAAATTTTTATTTTTCAGTGAATATGTTAATATCTAATTCGTTGGCCTGAATGGACTAGTTATACTCATTAAAATAAAAAAAAAATTAATATCATCGATTTAAATACTGAATAATTGAATCTAAAAAGGAATTTTAAATCATTTATATAAATATAAAAGAAATTTTCTTCAAAATTTTTTGAATTTTAAAATGATTAAAAAAAAATTATCTCTGAATAATTATAACAATTAATTTATACAAAAAATAATTTAAATAGAAAAAAGCTTAATTGCAAATTTTATCAATTGCAAAATTTTTATTTTTATTTTAATTATTAAATTTCAAAATATTTTTTTTTTAATTTCTATATTTGCTTAAAAATTTATAAAAAACAAAGATATTCATTATAGATTAAAATATAATAAGTATAAAGACTAGTATTCAGTCAATACAGTAATTGACTGATCTGTAGTAAGTTTCTCTATACTATGTGTGATACCATACGGTCTTAAGTGATAAATTAAGTACTCAAGAACATACATCATATTAGGTGACACATAGTGAAATGAAATCGCACTATCGGAACAACAATTGAGACCATCTTTGGTATCGTAATAAATATACTTCCAGTACCAGAAATTCTTATCCATGTGATTAGGAATTAAATGATGCTCTGGTACAAAGGGGAAAAATCTTCCACGACCATGTGGATCTCGAGTATCCATTGCTTTGACATTTACTTTTTCCAGGCACTTTCCCATTTCTACATCTTCTGCACCTCCACTGTCTGAACGACACTTTGTTTTATCAGGCAAAGCCTCTTCCACAAATTTACGCAAAGCTTCTTTACTAAGTACATATCCTGCACCACCACTCATGTATCCTTGTTTCACAAATGGCTTAAATCTACAGCCAAAATATAATGGGGAATTTGAGTCATAAGATGATAACATATATCGTAAATTTTCTATCACCACATATCTGAAAATTTAATAATTTTTAAATAATATTAATCATAAAATAAAAATACTTATATTAAAAAAAAATTTTGAATTTTAAATCTTTTTTATTAAATCTGATTTATTATTAAATATGATTTAAAAATTTGTAATTGCAATAAATTATTTACGTATCATCATCAGCTTTCATAAACCAATCAACTTTATCTTTGTACTTTTCATAAGCATATTTAAAAGCTTCTTTGGTTTTTGCCCATAAGTTATCTCTTCCTTCTTTTACTGATAAAACAACTGTAGGTAAATTTGTATCTGGAAATTTATATTTTAAAATAATAATTTAAATTATTATTTTAAAATATTATTATAATATTTTACCTTCAGCAGAACTCATAAATAAAAGAATATTGCAACGTTTTCCCCATGTTGCTTTCACATGTTGAGCTTTACTTTGGTGATTTTTTGGACCAGTCATGATCCAACACAAGACACGTACTTTTTTTGCAAGTTCTTGTGCAACTTTATCTTCATCTTTATGAAAATCCTCATCTGCACTATGAAATTTTACTTCTATTTCAGGACCAACCTATTACATTTATTAATAAAATAACAAAATTGAATATAAAGAGATTACAAATAAATAATATAAAATAATTACTTCTGATTCCAATTCTGAATAGTGATGTGGATCTCTTGCAAGCATAAAACCACCAGAAAACCAATTAAACATATATGGCACATTTCTTGTAGAAATTATTAAAAGGCACGCTGAGATAAATCCAAAAATTATACCAATAAGAAGAGTTAATATAAAATGCTTACCATTTCTAACACCTATATAAAAAATAAAATTTATTAATAAAAAGATATACAACCAATGTTAGATTTTCATTATTTAATAATGAAAATCAATCATTTTAAAATATTAATTTACCATTAACATTTAAAAACCTTCGAATCATGATATATAAAAGTAAACAACTTTAATCCAGCTAAAGGATTTAATTATGTCAAATTACTGCAACAAAATGTATTTTTTTAGCTTATTAATGATTTTTATTAATTAAAAAGCATTAATTTTTTACATATTTAAATAAAATAAAAGAAGTTATAAATAAATCGAAGTTAGGATACTATAAATTTTTAAAAATTTTTATCATATCTTTATTATAATAATATCATAATTACATCAACATACCTATAAATTTTTGTAGACATAAGTAGAAATTTAAAATTATTTTATTCATTTTTAAAATGAATTATGTTTTATCGGACATCATTCATCAATTTGAAATTCCTTATATTAATATTTTTTTTAATTTAAAACATTGCTTCTGAAAAAAATTTTTTTTTATTTCATTTATAAGAATATTATTTTAAAATATTATTATTATCATATATAATAATAATAAATAAAATATTTTATATCTTTAACTTATTTTCACAATAGGGTTCAAAAAAAATATATTTATCTTTATGTTTGCAATTAATGATTTTAGATTTATATAAAAC